AAGACAGAAAGAATTAAATTCAAAGAAAGATGAAAATATAAGATTATAACGTTTTATTGTGTGTACATACTGAATACTATTACCACACAAAATTCTCATGTAAATCATCATAAGCTACTATGCTACGTGTTCCAGTGTTAAGTGTCCAGGAACAGAAATTTAAGAGTTAGCTGAATGTTGCTTTTTTGAAATCTGCATGATTCAATATTCTTGTGTTAGCTTTCAAGAAAAAGGTAGACTTTGTGCCATCTGGAAGGTGAGAGGAGACAGCACATTTTAGTAAGCCAGAGGTACGAGGCAGGGCTATTTGGCAGATCTTTTACTCCTCCAGAGCAACCAGCTCAGACTCCCCGGTGCCGCTGTTTCAGACAGAAAGCTCTGCTTTACCATTTACAATGCTGCCATCTATTGACCTCGGTGGGCTTTTATCTCACAATCCGTGGCAGTATTTTTTCCTTTAGCAACTTTTTGCACTTGTATTTGCACTTGTATTTTTCTCGATGGGATTTATCTGACTAAACATACACACCTGCAATAACAGCACCATGTAAGAATTGCCTCGGGCTTCCTTGAAAATCACTGGAAGAAAAAAGCACTTCTGGGGTGTGATTCACATCTACCCCAAGTAAATAACCAACATATACCAGCTGAACAGCACCCAAAATGCATTACTGTGCTTTGCCCGTGGCTATAATGATACCTGAAGAGTGACTAGCTCAGGTGTAGAGATCACTGTCAGACTGTAAGTGAGCACAGAAAGACAGCAAAAGGAATATTACCCCCTGCCCCAGTGGGGGAAGTTTTTAGAGGTGCTCCTGATATTTAATTTATCAACATGTATCCATGTACAATGGGGCCACAGGAGCTACAGAAGAGAGATATGAGCTACATCTAACTTTGGATAAAAGTATTGGCATTTGATCTAGAAGTCTACCTCCACTTCATATTTTCTTTGGCTGTAAAATTGTCTTAAAAGATATTTCATCTATCCCCAGCTCTACCTCTGGTAGCCGGTCCCTCAGAAAGCAGAGGTAAGAGAAGTCTCACATGTAGTTTCCTACACTCAAAGACACACCTTCCCCCTCCCCTACCCTCCCCCAAAAGGGGTATCTTTTCCTGTAAATTTTATGAATTGTAGATTCACATTATACAAGAGCTAGACCTGAGAAGGTTTTATTTTAATCCAAACAAATATTTCATACAATGATTGAAAATCTGCTAGAGACAATGTAAAATATGATTTTGTCTGAACCAGTGGAGTCAATAATTGCAACACCTTGGGCAATATGCAGTTCTAAATGTGACTTATTTTAAATTACATTTAACCCACTTCAATAACACAATCTTTGCAAAATAATGGTCTACACACAAATTTGCACAAGTTTTGTGCAAATCACACACTTGGATGTAGCAAATGTACGATTCTTGAACAGTGGAACAAGAAAAATAGGTTACTGACTACTTTCCAACTTCCAGTCATTGCCACTGTGTGCTGGAAACGACCTCCCCTTCAGATCTGATGCCCAGAACGCTTTCTCAGCTTATGTAAGTGTGCTGCAAATTTAAACTTTCTACACCTCTTTTTTTTACAAACCTCCAGTCATTGAACTCATAGCTTCCTAAATAATAAGTTAATGAAATTAATTGGCTAATTAATGAATCTGAGTAGCTGACAGATGTTCTCTAAGACTTGACAACTGGAAATTATGTTTCTTATGAAGAAATTTCTGTACTCTAATAGGTAGCAACATTTTGTTTTCTTGCCAGGAAACATTTCCCAGCAAAGAGAGTCCTTATTTTTAGCCTATTGGAGCAACACTGAAAGCTGCAAGGAACACAGTCATGGAAGAAAGTAGTTCAAGAGGGATGTGCTGCATTATGGGACACCATTGACAAAACTGATCAATAAAACCAAGGCTCCCCTGTGATGCTTCTGGCCCTCAGCCTGTGAGAGATGTCATGCTGGAATCAATACGAGCTATGCTTTCATCACCAAATCATTACTTTTGAGACAGAAGTTGCAGGGGTATTCACTTCATTCTAGACTCAGTTTACATTTTTTATGTTTCATGAGTGTAGAAGAAATGTATTTACCAATCAAAATTAATGCGACACCTTTTCTACTGTTGGGTTGTGGGAGGAACCATGAAGGGGGCTTCCTTTAAAACCAGATCTTGCCAGGTGCTCCTTCTCCTTATGATAAGACTGATTTTTAAATTCATTAAATATCTATGTCATCTTCCAAGGAAAACACAGCTCCTACAGCAGCAGATATCTTGTGAAGTGAAAGATTCAGAAGCGATCCTGAGAAAGTGATCAGATGAAACACAGAGGAAGAAATTGGTTTCAGCAGACAAGAAGTACTAATTTCACTGTTTAAAAATGTGTATAATTAGAGGTTTATTTAATGCAATATTTATGTAGATCCCGTAGCATAACTTTTTCTGTGCTTCCAGACAACAACTGTGTAAGTGCAAATATGCATAAGTAAGGCAGAGAGAAGGAAATAAGCAAGAAGCAGTGAACCAGGAGAATGTACATTTTATAAGTAAGACTACCCAAAAAAGTAGTATTTCAAACTGAAATATTAAAAAACTACAAAACATTACAATGCTGATTGCATTTTCAAAATCTACATAGCACCAACAGTAAGATGTTACTTGAAGTCTTTGCCTGAGACTGGTAAGTTTAACAGAACCAACACATATGCCATGCCTTTGTGCTGGTTGCACTGATGCCTTTCTCCCATACAAAGTGCAGCAGTTCAGCAACAAAGTATGCCTTGATTTTAATATATATGTAACACAATCACCATAATCAACATAATTTACTCCAACTAAAGATCTGCACAGTCCATCACCACTTTTTCTGAGAGTGACCCATGTCAGTGCCCTCAGGAATGAACAGGGCAAGCATAGACCAGCTCTTTCTTAGTGCACCAGGACTTCTTAAGTCAGAAGTGTGTCTTGATGACTGACTAGTAGATACTCCATTTATGATTTGCCTGATTCCTTCTTTCACCTCCTGACTCTCCCGGATAACCTCGATGTGCTGCTGTCCACAGCCTTCTGCCATCAGTGTGCCTTGTGTAAAAGCACATACCAATGTGTGAGCATAAAGCAACGCAGATCTGCCTCTAGGAATACACAGATCACAGCAAGAAAAGCTGGAAGAGTCCCTGAGTGCACTGGGTGCCCATCAGACAAAGCAGGCTGGTAATTGTATAAAACACTTCTTTCTTGGAGACAGAGGCTCTCTATGAGTTTTTTGGCCATACACAGGGAATCACAAAATGCAGTGGCTGAATGGGACCACAATTAAAATCCAATGCAGTATCTAGACTTCTCAGCTCTGCACAAATGCCTGACTTCCATAGGAAACTATACAGTGACACAGTAGCTGGAAGAAAAGAATACATAGATGATGGAGAAACCACTAGCATTTTAGAAGTGATGACTGAGTGCTCTTAATATGCTGAAAATATATTAACATCCTACTATTTTTAAAGACCTTGTGTACTATTATGTGATGCCCATACCAGGCAAATTAATAACAATTATTTTTAAAAATAACTTTAGTAGATATATGGGAAATAAATGTAGAAATCTGCTATACAAATGAGACTCAATATGAAATTTCGTTTCACAATGGGCTTCTTAAATTGAAGCAGGTAACAAAAGGAAGTTGTCTCAATACAATCTGCTGAAATTTTCAGCAAGCAAGCAGCTAGAGCAGTAAGCTCACCAAGAGAGCTGAAAAACAGGAATAATCTTGTGCCGGAAGTATTAATTAAAAGCACAGAAGTTAGAGAAGAGAAATAGCCTTAGTGGAGAGAAGCCCTAGGGTTCCCCTCTTGCTGGGATCAGGAGCACGAGCCATACTTGTGTGTTACAGCCCATCCGTGAGTTATCCGGAGAGAGGCACAGACAACGGGGTGACACGATCTGCTGAGGATGCTGGGCTATTCAGTATGGTACAGCTGAGTGGTTTATTGACCATGAAGAAACACACAACAACATTATGGCACCAGGTAATAGCTGGCAAATTTAATACAGAGAGTGTAAAATGCTACACAGGGGAAAAAGCAATCCCTGCTCTGCCAGCTGTGACAGGTCCCCAAGGGGCTGCTCATTCACAGTCCTGTGAAAATACTGGCTCAGTGCAGAACCTGAACACAAAATTAAGATGTTAACTATGGAAAATATAATAACCAGAGGGTAAAGTATGGCAGTGCCACACCACCACCACTGCAGCGCACACACATTTTGGGTAATGTGTCCGCTTGGAGAGCACTGTGTGTATGCTGTGGGACTGGAGATGGTGACCAGGGGTCAGAACTTGCCAGAGAAGGGCAATGAAGCTGGTGAAGGGTCTGGAGCACAAGGCCTGCGAGGAGCGGCGGGGGGAGCCGGGGGTGTTCAGCCTGGAGAAAAGGAGGCTCAGTGGAGACCTTACCACTCCCTACAAATCCCTGAAAGGAGGCTGTAGTGAGGCCTCTTCTTGCTCTCTTTTTTGGGATAGCAAGTGACAGGACCAGAAGAGATAATGTTAAGCTGTGCAAGGGAAGGTTTAGATTGAACATTAGAACAGTTTTTCACAGAAAGGGTGATTAGACATTGGAATAAAGTCCCCATGGGGGTGGCTAAGGAAAGACTGGACGTGGCACTCAGTGCCATGGTTTAGTTGTTTGGTCATAGGTTGAACTGGACGATGTCGCAGGTCTTTCCCAAACCGTCTGACCCTGTCACTCTGTGGGCTCGCAGGGCCGTCCCCGTGAGGAGCCGGCAGCACCATGAGGGCAGCGGGGCCCCGGCCGCGCCTCCCCACAACACCACGAGATGGCGCCGCCGGCCCGGGGAGCGCCGGGCGGAAGCGGCGGGGGAAGCCGCGCTGGCCGCGCTCGGCCCCGCCGGAACGGAGCGAGCGCTGGAGGCGGCTGTGCACGGCTCTCCGTGCCCGCCGGAGCCCCGGGCTGCCCGGGTGGGTGCGGGGACGGCGGTGCCCCCGCGCTGGCTGCGGCCTCCCTCCCAGGGAGGGGACCGGGCTGAGGGCTGAGGCAGCCGCGGCGAAACGGCGGCGGGAGCGGGAAAGCGAAGGGCTCAGGAGGGAGATGTGGGAGCCCGGGCGCCTGGCGGGGCCAAGGCCTGGCATTGTGGCCCCAGGCGGTGGTTGTGGTACCGGTACGGGCGCGGGGCTTTGCCGTTCTCTGCAGTTTATCGGCCCGGGGCCCGAGGCGGCGATGAGCGAGCTCGGGCGGGAGCGGCGCTCTGTCGCTGTGGGCAGCCGGGACACAAGGCCCGAGCCCTTGGATGTAATTGTGTGCCCTGCTAGCAAGGCTCTTCGCTTTTCGAGGCTTTCAGTCACTTGCCGGAGTCTGGGCACAAGATCTGTGAGACCAGAAAATTACTTACGCCTTCAAAAGCTGTACTAGAGAAGTTCCATCCTGTTCCTTGTTTATGACTGAATTGACCAGATATATATGAAACATAAGCTAACTCGGCTACTGATAATTGTGCAGCTTTTAGCACTTTATTTCTTCCCTCTGATTTTTGGCCTAAATAGCTTTTGGGTTTATGTCCTGAAGCTCAGAGAATAAAGATCTTCTTTTGGGGAGCCACGCTGCCTCGGCTTCTGATAGGGCCAAAAGATCTGTAATACATATGCTAAAGTTTGAGAGCATTATTTTGCGTTATGCTAATTTGTTTCCCTTTCATTCACAGGAGTTGCTGCTGTTATTTCAAGGACATTGATGTGAACATCATAGTGATAGGTGGGTCTTCATAGCATTCCTGTTGGGATGAGAAGGAGCTGTAACTGTGTCCTAAGGGCTGGACAACTCTTTACAGCCATTCACAAACCAGAATGCAGGGTATAGGGCTGGGAATTTTTACCTCTTCTTTTGAAGAGAAATAACTTTTGCTGCCAACTGTCCCAGCACTCACAGGCTTGTGTTTCTGCATGACTGTAACTAGGGCACTTTGGTATTAAAGTTAACGTCACAGCAATGCCCAGCGTTAATCTGAAGCACAGAATGTCAGACCACTTTTCAGACATTTCCCTCTTCTGGTGATAATTCTGCATCAGAGTAAGCATCAGAAGTATAAAATTAAATAGTGTTCATGGGAGGATGCACACTATTGATGTTAAGTTCACATTTTTTTAGCTAGAATGTACTGAGTTCAAAATATACAGCACAAAATTATGTTTAATCTCTTAAACTGTGAAACTTAATGCCAGGGGATTTATTGGAAACACCTGTTAGTCATGGGGGTTTTGGCTTTAAATGCCAAAACCAGTTTGGGGATGGGGAAAAAAAAAAAGTGTCTGAACTACCTCTTGCTGAAATCAGGAGAAATGCACCTGGAAAAGTAATTCCTTTATGTTAGAGTCACATTTTACTGAGTATCTCCTACTAACTAACCATTGCCAGAAACTGGATACTGAGTTAGGGCAGTTCTGGCCTGACTGAAGATAGTTTTGTCAGCAGGGACAAAAGCAGCAGTGGGCAGAGGGGCTGGTCAGCTCTCTTGTTAGGGACATTTCCAATTCAAATGTAGTTGGCTTTTTCCTGAAAGCTTTGTAAAAATGTGTTTTGTTGAAACCTGCTGAATTTATTGAAATTCCACCTTCCTTTAATAACATACTGTGGTTTTACCATAATATTGTGCAACAAGTTAATCTTGTGTTGATGGATATTGTGAATAGTGGAGCCCTCACTGATCCTGCACTGGGCTTGGATTGTCCCTGTTTCGTTCATGTGGCCACGCTGTATCCAACGTACCACTAGTCCCACAGTGGTTCCAGAGTGGGATTTACTTAGCAAGTTATAAACCCCAGTGCCTTGAAGTTGAGTCTAAGGTATGACAGACATTGTCTCAATTTCTGTTGACTCCAAGGGAATTAAATGCTGTCATTACTTTGATGGGATTTATTTCTTCTCTAATGCTCACCTGCCTCAAGCTGGTAAGGGGGACAGACATGTTTTGATGAAAGGGAGTACATCCCTGGTTCATTATCAGTGGAGAAATATTTTAAAACTGGGACAAGAAAATAGAAAAAATGTCCATCATTAATGATCAGTATAAGCAAACAAATCTCTTTCCCATTTTAAATTGTACATTTGCTCATGAGTTTCATACATTCAGTTGGTTACATATTTCATTTTTTAAGTATAAATTATAGAACTATTACATTTATTTTTCTGCTCTTGTATGTTTCTTATTTGATGTAGTTTGTTTTGGAAGAGTAATTCAACTGAAAATAAAACAAACTCACTTTTTAATTTCGTTTCATTGCTTGCAGCATTTTTATGCTCTGCTTTATATTTGTAGTCTAATGTTTCATAAATAATTTATGAAAATAATTAAAATTTATGTGTTTGGCTAAACAGGTTTTTCATATTTGGTAAACTAATACACTTGGATGGTTTTGCCAGGGTTTTTCCTTTCCTTCCCTTTCAGAAAGCGTAGGTACATGTTGTATGCTAATAATAAAGTATCTGACTTTACCAATTACTGCTGTAAAAAATTATTTACATTGAGATCAGTCCTGATTTCTGTTCATTCTGAAGCTGTTTCAAAGAAATTTTTGTCCTGTAGGAATTAGAGTGAACCTGAAAATGAAACACACCTACTTTTCTGAAATAGAAAGTGAAAGAATTGGATATCATGGGCTTAGGTTTTTAAGTATGAGGAAAAGACTTTATGGCAACCTTGACAGTATCCAGATGTATCTGGGAAAGATATGTATGAGGAAGAGACAAAAAGTATATGTGTACCTCATGAGAGTGGAGATGAAAGTTTTGAAGAAGGCAATGGTGGTAATGAGACCTTTGAAATGTACAAAGAGGGATGGCACAGCCATCTTCTACCTATGCATGGGTTTTGAGTGTTACAACTCCCTGCAGTGTTTTGCAGTGATCTCAGTGCTGGGTTTCCTTCTTCCTCCGAGCAGGCAGGAGAGAATCCAACATGCTTTAGTTGCCTTATGCCTGAATCTGCAGCCTTTGCTGGCATGAGTTGTTCCATCAACTGCAGTGAGACTGCTCCTGTGTGTAGAGCTTCTTGCAGACACGGGGTTATGGTGTTACCAGGGGTTTATTTCTTTCAGCTTAGTGTGGGCTTTGGAAAGGACAGTCATTTGCTTTTGTGGTTGCTGCATGATTTGCATTTTGTTTGACCATTCCATTCTCCTTTCATGCAGTATGGCTTAAGTGACAAAAAGTTGCTCTTTAGTGAGTATTGCTAAATATGAGGCAGAACACAACTGTACTGTATTCATATGCATTTTGAAAAAACCTGGCTTTATCCTGGTATGAATCTATAACTCTTCTAAGTGTTGTCTTGGCTATATTCCAGTGTTTCTGGGAATAGCATTTGACCATATCTTAAGATTAGCAATAGGTAGTTTAGTGTACTCTATTTTTGTTCAGGCTGGGGGTGAGAATGTCAGGAGAAATATGTGAATGGAGCAGCTAACCTATTAGTGTAATAAAATAATTGTCAGATAAGAGGAGATTAAGAATATTTCTCAATGATATGTACTGGTAAACCACCCTGGATATGCTGGTAATTATATATCCTGCCTAGATATATAATTAGAGCTCTATGTAGAGCTCTTGTTCTCCCTTTCTACCCCCACAACCATTTTTTCCTTTTTTATTTTTTTTTCCTGTCCAGGTGCTTCTTTCCTTATGCGTTTTCCTCACATTTAAAAATGTGGTTGCAACTTGACCTGTGTTTTCTTCATGGGAGGCAGGATCAGATGCTGGAGAGGAGAAAAAAAGAGAATCAAAGAGAAAGAAGGGACAGTATGTGGTCAAAAGTGCACCACAGGTTAAACAGAAACCTCACTGCATGAGTGGAATTGGGATGGGTTTAATCATTTTATGGCAGTTGCTTACTCTATACAAGTTCCTGTGCAGACACAGCTAAAAAGTGAGGACAGTTTGTTTCCTTTAAGTTTATGGTTTTTGCTTGGCATTAATTTGGAGAATAAAGGTTGGGAAAGCATGAAAAAACAGAGAGCAATGGGAGAAATTTTCAGTTCCAGCATTTCTGGCGCTTTTTGCAGAAGGTTCTGTTTTAACTTTCTTACTGTAGTGGAGAATTTTAAGGAATAGGATTTTTACATCTGCTAATCAAAATCTGTCAGTAAGAGACTTCAACTTGCCCCAACCGAGAAGGGATACTTAACAGCTGTAGATCATAGTACTCAAAATACAATTCAGTGCCTGTGACCACCTTAATACATATATTTTTATGAATTAAAAAGCTACTCTTTTCTTTTCTAGTTCACCTTGATCATCACCAGAACAAACTCCACAAGAGATGGTAAGAGGTCTTCACAGGTTTCTATGGAATAACTTAATCACATTTTTTATATAAAATGCATATAAACACTTTCATTGAACTGTGAGTGCAGACATGTAAAAATTAGATGTAAAAGTCACTAAATTGCTTTGAAAATAGAATTCAGATTACAACAATGAGCGATTTGTCTACTCCTGGGAAGACTCCAGAGAAATTACAGGAGAGTAACAGAGGACTCTGATCATTTGCCTTAGATTTATAGCTTTTGTTTCCTTGAGGAAATCTCTTATTTCCATTTATTCCACAGCTGAAAAAGCACAGACACAGAATTAAGTGAGACTAAAAGTGTTCCTTTCCCTTTTCCACCCAAATGTAAAACATTTCTGTAATTTCTTTTTTAACAGATGTATTTTTAAAATTCAAATATAAGAGTGGTTTTCAAGGGTCTCTTTCAACAAAAACCCTCACAAAAAGTAGTTGGACAAGCACCAGCATCACAGTTCTGCCTGCATGAACTGGCTTTTTGTCTTCCTTTCCCCTAAATTAACAACTGGAGCTAGTCAGCCAGACAAATCAACCAGCTTGATTCCAGAGCTTTCAGTAACGTCATCAGGTTCCTTTTTAGTAACATTTTATAAGACCTGGAGATAATTTTTGAGCTTTAAAAGAATATATTGTCTTTTTTACAGATATATAGAATGTAGGAGATACCTGCTTTTGTCTAGCTTCATAGTGTTTTAAAACTGGATTTTTAAAAGTGTTTTAATATTTAAGGAAAAAATAGTCAAAATGTTTTAAAAGTAACTTATTAATGTATCAGGTTTGATAATAGGACATTCTCATCTGTCTGCTGAAGGATGAGGAGTCAGTATGACATTCTTAAGCAAAGGGAAACAGTAAATAAAGTATTGTTCATCCTAGCTGTTAGGTAGTTGGATGATTAAGGATGAAGAAATTCCATATGGAAGGCAGATGCTTTCCTTCTACCCACTCATCTTGGAATGATGCATTTTGGGAGCTCCAAATGCATGCTCTTGTAGCAGTTAGACCAAGAGGAGAATAGCAGTGAAGTTTCATTTCCATGAATTCTTTCTTTTCAGGAAAGATAAGTTGTCTGCACTTTTAAATCACACAGCTGAACTACATAGCCCTTCACAAATAGGCTGCAGTTTTTTGATCAGGAATACCTTAAGGAATGCAAATTTGTGGTGGTTTTCTTTATGTACTCTGTTAGGTGAAGATACTTTGTTTCTGAGAGCACATAGCAATTACCTAAAAAGATACAGCCTTGATTTCTTATGGAATAATGGGCTCAGTTTCCAGAAAGAAAGGCAGCATGAGAGTTGTAATTTTTATTCCAAACTCACTAGCATTTGCTTTGCTGTCTGAGAACCAGAATGTGAAACAAATGTAAGTAAACTAAATGAACCTCTCTGGATAGTGTTAAATGGAAAGTGTTTTTTAGTTTTGAGTTTTCTGTTTTGCCTTGGGATTTCTTTTTCCTACAGAACCATTCTTTTAAGGGGACCAAATGGTGCCAGGGCAGATCAAGAAAACAGACTTAAAGATTTTTGTCCTGTATGTCCTTAAAAAGAAAAAAAAATAAAAGAAACCACCTTACTAAAGGACTGTAAATGTCACATTCATCTCTGAAAACGTCAGCTAGTTTTGCCATAGTTTTGAGTGTTTGCCAGAACATGGCTTAATTAAAATTTTCCTATTTAAAGTAGAGGCATTCTGTTTTACTCCAGATAAAGTATTTTCTATGGAAATTAAGACCTGAGGGAAAGGGAGAGAAAATATTTGATATTTAGTTTACTTGTTCTAGGCTCTAGTTTATGGCTTTGTTTTTTAAGATCCTCTATTATCCTGCTTTTTGAGAGCAGGATGAGGTGGGAGATGAAATAGCTTGTATGAAGGGAGCTTAAGGCTACAGGGATTGTGAGGCTTTGTAGTTGCTGGTGAAATCTGAACAGCCTGAAACTTCTTTAAGGAAAACTATGATTAGCTGGAAGACAGGAGAAGGTGTGTTACACTACATTTCTTTCTATAGAACTGTTTTTCTCTGTACTTTTATCAGTGGCACTTTATTGCCTCTTTTCATGTTTTGGTTGGTGATGGATACAAAAGGGAGATTTACTGGCAGCTTGCATTTGGCTAAATACAGTCTTGTTTTTGACTGTGGCCATGGTGGATATATGAACTTGTCTGAATTGCTGTTTGACCTTTTCTGAGAAACTTTGGCAGGCAGATGGAGGAAATACATTACTGGAGGAAATATGTTACTGGATAAAATGAATGCATTTGTTTAATGCAGAGGAATCTTAATCCCTTGTGTTTTCTGTCTGTGGAGCTGGAAATTAGGTATAGGGTATAATATCTACACCTTGGAATTACTCAATTCTTAAAACTCATGTGATTGTCTAAGGAATTGTGGATTATATCCACACTGCATATTTCCTAAAAAAGCCTGATTCTTACTGTATTAGCATGAACACTTTGAAAATAACTTCTGAACACTATAACTTCTCTGTTTCTAGTTCTTCAGTGGTAGTTGATGCCAAAGGAGTCTCTTGTAGGAGTAATGAGGTGTGGTGCAAATGCACTGTGCTCATACATGTTTTTCAAATCTCTGTGTTCTGTCATAGCTAAAGGATGACTAAAGATTAAAAGGCAGCATTGTGCTTGCATTTAGTTGCTCCCCTCAATTGCTCTTCATTTCTCTGTCTCTATACCTTCGTTTTGTGGGGGAGCATTAGTGCTGTGGTGTGTGGTTGATTTTTGGTGTTGTTTCCCTCTCCCTGTGTGTTTTCCTGCAGGAGGACACGGAGCCGTGGTACTCTCAGCAGGTGTACGCGAGGTACTGGAGGCACTATGACTTAGCCATGCGCTGGATGCGCAGGCACCAGAAAGCCTACAGGAAAGCCATGGAGTCCTTTTATCGCATGCCGTGGCATCCGTGGCATGCTGCTGCAGCCTCTCCAAGCAGCCACTACTCAGATTGGTATGGGAATGATCTCCCACATATCCAAAACTATTCTTCCAGCTATAGACCAAATGTCAGAGTTCCATGTCACGGGGGAGCTCATCAGTACACAGATGCCTACCAGGAGAGGGAGGATGCTGATGAGGACTCCGAAATGGAAGAGGATGCTGAAAGGGACTCTGAAATGGAGGAAGAGTCTGAGTCTGAAGGAGAGATAGAATATGACTTGAGTAACATGGAGATCACAGAGGAGCTTCGCCAGTTTTTTGCAGAGACAGAGAGGCACCGAGAAGAGCTGCGTAAGTCCATGCTTGTCCTGTGTTTTGTGGTATTTGGTGGCCATAACACTGAGTGCTGGGTGGCTTCAACATTTACAGGTTTGTAAGAATTCACAGAAATAGGTGCTGCAAGTGAGCAAGCCAGCAGACTAAAATAGGCAGAACTGATGGGTGCACTTAAGTACCACTCAATACAACTAAGTGTCAGAAGATGTTTAAAAGTTTTTGGCGAGAGAGAGAGTATGACTGTAAAGAGGAGAATAACACTTTTGTCCAGAAGACAGTATCAATAGTCAGTGCTGAGGAAAAGAGCTCCAGAATTGTTATGGTTAAATCTAGTTAATATGCTATATGTATGAGGGGGGAACCCACAGGAAATGCTTGAATACATCACTGAACCCTAGAGTAAGCCTCAATGTATTTTATAACATGGAGCAGCCATTTTATTTGTTATTCTTTGGCTAACCTGGCAGTAAAATTTCATAACCCTTTTCTCCACCCCCTGCATCCTCTTCATTCTGTACTATATCACAAGTTTATCTTTGTTGAGCATCTTGATCTGGACCCAAATCCTTTGATAGGGAATGTAAGTCTTAAGATTTTTCTCAGGTCTTGATCCTCAGAGGTATTGGTCATCTTTGTTTCTGTGAAATCCTTAACAGGGTAAAGGGTTTTTCTGTACTTTATTGACACTTTCTCATATACAGAGATGTTGCAGAAAAATGTATCTGTTTTAAGAAGGCAGATTAATAAAAATAACTCTCCTCACATGACTCCAGTAGAAAATAAGTGTAAAGAATGTTTAATAGAGCTTTTTCTGCTTCTGTGAAAGAGAAAACATTCTAAAAACGTAAAATAAAGGCAATGATTGAAAGGGAAAGAAAAAGTATGTTAAGTTCTTTGATCAGCAGGTATCAGAGGGTGAGCTGATAACTCAGCTTACTTCACACTTCTCATCAAAGTGATGTACAGTTGATCTAGTTAGCAGAAGAAAGTGAGTTAAGGAGTTCTGTGGTAGTGCCTGATATGGATCCCTTTCTCATCATGCTTTTGCAGAATCAGCTTGGTGTTCTCTGTTGAAATGTTCCTTTGATGAGATACATGGTGCTTTAAGACACTGGGCTACTTCTGGGGATGCAGAACATTTTCTTTGGATTTTTTGACCAATATGATTAGTGGTATTTAAAGGTATGTGAGTGATTAAAGGTGGTATCCTGGAAGTTGGGAGATCAGGTCTTAGAGATGTTGTTCTCTGTTGCAAATATCCTGTATGATCTTGGTCTAGCTATTTAGTCTCTTCCTGACCCCTCACTGGCTGTGCTTGCTAAAAATATGCTTTGTTCTTTATGATGAGCAGGTGAATTGGGAAGAAGTTTATGACTCAGAATACAGATTTTACTTTTGTTCCTTCCACCACTGCAGTACTCAGAGCCTTTTGGAATGGTTTGGTCTCTGCTCTGTGCTGTGTAGTAACCTAGTTCTGGATGGTTTTAACTCCATGTGCTTCAGTGGCACTATTGCAGATCTTCATGCAAATTCAAGGAGACTCTGGTGTTTCACTACTGCATGCCTCAATTTCTTTAGTTGCTTTCCTGCTAAAGTGAGCATAGTGCTGAGTAAACATCTATAATTCCTCAAAGCATGAAAAAGTAAAGAAGTACTTGACTTAAATGAAATTTAAAAGTGACATAGAAATCTAGGGTGAATGTTGCTTTCTAAATTCTAATTTTGTGAGTAATTAAAAACACAGTATGATCTTGTTTGGAGATATTTTCTTGCAAGGTGAGGGAAAAGGAGAATAGAAGAAATTTTTTATTCTGTTAAAGTTTCTCAAAAGAAGAAACATAAGCAGCAGGAGGAGGGGAAAATCATTGTTTCTCTGATGGTGTGGAAATGAGCTGGTATGGAGACCGTGTTTGAAGGCGGTAGTACTCTGCTTTAAGAGGTAGTTTTATTAATTTTCCTGATTGCTGTTTATGAACAAAATTAAATTTAGAGGATCATTAAGCTGTGATCCATAATGATGCTATATCATGTTATATCTTTCATACTGTTTAACAGTTGTCATTCTGTATTGATGCTTGAGAAGATTGAAATAACGCATCCGCAAAAGAAACCCTCAGTTACTTGAGTATTTTCTCTCTAATGACTTCATTTTAATCCCAAACTGCATGTCCTTAGGAGCAGATTTATAGAGAAACTTGGGTAGCATAAACCTCAGTAATGCCTGAAATTTACACCTCCACTTCTGAGAGAGAAATTTGTAAGGGTGAGGCAAGAGTTTTACATAGCACTTAAAGCAGATGAGATTGTTTGGGTGTGCCACAGTAGAATACCAATAGGGACCTTGACGATCAGTTAAAATAAAGGCCGGTCGTTAGGGGACGTTAAGGGGAAGGCTGTGTCTCATGTTTTCTTCCTCTGGCATCAATAAGGGGCTCCGGGTGGAATTCACAGCCTCTTACCCCTGCACCTTGATGTTCCCTTGGGAGGGGACACACAGCTTGCTCTTCTAAAAGAGTTTGCAAGAGTTAGAGACACGCTTGTGAGCAACTTAATGAGGTGGGAGTCACAAGGAAGCAGAGCATCAGTGGGGCAAATAGGAATGGGAATTTGGCACCTAAGGAGGGGGATACCAATCTTTGTGAAGAATGACCTCCATTAGTTTGGTGTTTTTCTACCTATCCAAAGTTAAGAAATACTACACAGCATTAATGCATCTATTTGATCTATTTTGGACATAGGTAGTGAGTCTTGATTTTTCATGTGAGATATAGCTGGTTCCCACACCTGATCCACAGATGTCTCATCAACATGTGGAAGGATAATCAAATAGATTAAAAGGAATCCTACTTGATGGCAGACTCTTCACTTACAGTGCCTCATCTAGAGCTTGCTGGAGGTGAATGATCATGATCGCTGACATCAGAGGATAAGGTCTTGCAAACTTTAACTGCGAAAGACTTAAATAGGCCTGAGATACAGGTGGGAATGAGGTGACTCAATCTTGGAGGTCTTTTCCCACCTTAATGATTCTATGATTCTGTGGCTGTGTGAAAGGCATTTGGGCCTAGATGGTGACATACAAGCCTTAATGCTAATTGCAAAGAGAAAAGCTCCACAGATAAAAAAGATGTTGTGTCAGACTAGCCAAAGAAGAAAACTTAAGCTTTATTTAATTTCTTGTAGCTGCCACAAACTTGAAGAACAAGCAGATTTCTAACTTCTGTAAGATTTTTGATTTTGTTTTCTAGTGGGCATTTGCAGTGATTGGCTGACTTGCAAAGCAAGGGCTTTGAAACTGGCAAACTTGCTGCATGATTTAACACTTCTGCAGTGATACAGTTCACAACCAACCTCTTTTAAAACGATCTCTTTTTTTGTCTTTGAAGTCACCTCAATTTCTTACTAGTTTTTGTGTTTTTATCTTGTGTTGTAGTCAATTACATATTCCTGGAATGCCCAGATGTAATTATGAGTAAAGTTTGGCTGAGGCTGTATGAACTCAGACATACTAATACACTACAAACTTATCTCATGTTTTAGATAAATGGCATTTGGTTAAAACCCTTACAGACAGTTTTAATTCCTCTTCATTTGTTTCTTCACATGCAGTTGTAATTATGTAGTGATTCTCTTTTTTAGAGGGTTTTCTTGTCGGGCTAGTCTGTCTTTCAGGTTCTTCATGTACCTGGTGATCCAAGCATACTATGCATCTTGGGAATGTTTAAATGGTTGCATTTAAGTTTTCCCTCTGGCAGCTGAAAATCATTAAGTTGTTTTCCTGGGTTACCATACCTGTCAGACCTAAGTATGGCAGCAGATTCTCCAGGCATCCTAGATGTAAAACATAGAATGCAGTAAGTTGCCTTTTTACATTTCAAGAATTAAAAGGGTAAAAATGAAGATAGGAAGATTCACAACCCTAACAGTTCTGTAAATTGTCTAATTGCACATATTTATTACACTTTTAAATTTAGCCTTTGAAACATGTCGTTTGTCCTTATACAATTTTTCCTTGTTTCCTTTTGCATATGAGAGAAAATCACTGCTAAAATTGAGTGAGTACAGCATTGCAAGTACATTGAGAACCATTCTGTAGTAGTTAACAGGACGTAGACAGAATCCTTTATTTAAAAACAAAGAAAAGCAAGGGAAAGTACCATCATGTCAGTTCATTACCGAAGGATAATAGTCTATCATTTGTTAATGCTCTGACTAGTTTTTCCATCAAAGCCTCTGTTTCTATTGCCCACGCATAGCCTCTAGCTTTTCCCAAAAATAATGTCTGAATTTAATTTTTTTTATGCTAGATGGAAAATATTTTTTTTAGAAATGAACGGAAATAGTGAATGAAGATGTTTGTTTCAAAACTGCAGTCTGCAGGCTTTTCCCCTCAGGTTTCTTTTTCTCTGAAAGATGTAGTTGCCACTGTCTCTTCTGTGAAGAGGAAGTAATGGAATTTTCCATGTTTTGTAACTTGTTTGAATCGTACCATATCCATGAAGCTTTTGGTTTTGTTTAAAGCCTGCATGCCTTTAGGAAAATAGACTTTGATTCAGGTTTTTTGCCGCAATGTTTTTGTTCTTTCCTTCATTTTTGGTAAATGCTTTTCCCTGTTTTTTTTCTGTCTTTTTCATCATAAGACTGTAGCTCAAATTCTTGGAACTACAAACTCCCCACCATTTCTTTTTCTTTCTTCTTCACTACCCTGAGCTGTCCAAGCAGTGTGGATGGTGAGCTTTTAAATATCTGCTCAACTTCCCTGCCTTTAACAGCCTTTGTTGACAAACTTTTTGACAAACCAAAAAGCCTTGTTTGGCATGAACTTCAGCCACCGTCTGTGGAAGCTGAGATGCTGAAACTTCTGAGAAATGCCTGTGAAATGCAAGTGCTCTCTGCAATATGTGTGGGTGCTTGGGAAATGCTTTTGAAACATGTTGTTTTGTGAACTGAAGAAGACATGTGAAAGTTACTCTTTTTGTACTACATCTCTGATCCTGATGATTGAACCTTTTGCT